AGAGCAGGGCCTGCTGTGAGCAGAGGGGTCTGACCTCAGCACATCTTTCTGTGTAACATCGGGCTAACCACTGTCCCTCCCTAGGCCTTGTTTTCACTCTCTGCAGAAGCATAGGGATTCCCCAGACCTGAGCACACTCTCACATCCCCCCCAGGGTACCCCAGCAAGAGTGCGGCCCCACTTTCCTGCAGCCCCCCAGCACTAACCTCGGAGCCAGCGTTCAGCAGTCCTCGGCTAGGTGCAGAGGTCTTCTTAGCTGTCCAAAGGGGGCCTCAGGAGCATCGGGCACCACTGTGACCCAGACCTGCTCTGGACTCTCCCTTGCCCTGTGCCCCTCAGCCAGCCAGCCAGCCAGCCAGCCAGCCAGGCAGAGTGGCCTCCGCCCCTCACTCTCCCGCTGGACCTGACTTTGTCTGGAAAAGTTTGGGCCCTTCCTTGGAGGAGGGGACAGTGGGGAGGGTAGGGATGGCAACTGGGCTGGGAAGAGGGAGAGGGAAGTCGTGCAGAGGAGCTGGGAGCTCCTGAGCCTTCCCACAGCCTCACTCCAGCCTGTTCCCTTGGAGCCCTCTTGGAGGGGCGGAGACACTGGGGGGACGCAGAGGGAGGGTTTCGCTGCCTCTGTACCCATGGCTCTCACCTTCCCCCGTTGGTCATTTGAATGGTATGGTCGGGAGCAGCCAGCGGGTTGCTATTCAGTGCCTGCCAGCCTCCAGGTTACCGGGGAGAGGGGCTACAAGCCACGCAGCAGGAGGGGGACAGGCAGAGAGATGGGCCCTGGCAGCCCCCAGGCCTGCTCCCCTCCAGGCCTCTCCCTCAGCTTCCCAGAAAAGCACCTTCCCTTTGAGGGTGTCTGGCTGCAGAAGCAGGGGTGAGAGGCATTTTCAAAGGTCAGAGAGATCACAGAGCAAAAAGCGCAGGATTGACAGCCAGCCAGGGCTGTGCTCCTTGCCGTTTGAGTGGGCCCTTGGAGACACTCCAGGCAGTGGACACGCACACATACGCACCCCTCCCCCAGCCTTCTTCTTCCCAGAAGCCAGAGCTTCCCTGGTAACCAGCTGCCTGCTTAGGAGCCTAAGTCTTTAACAGCTTTCCCATCAAGGACCCCTAGGCTCCCAGAAGAATAACATGGGTAGGGGGAGTTGTGGCTCTCTCTGCCCAAGACCTGATCCTGGGGTCCACCTGCTATTTTCTGGAGCCCTAGTTTTTTGTATTTAGCTCCTCCCTCCTGGCCTTAGGCTTTGCTGACAATAGAAGCATCCTCTGCATAGCCCCAAATGGATGGAGCCTTCCTAGGACTGTCCAAGTCCATTAGATGGCTGAAGGGTCATCTCAGTCCAGCCCTCTGTCTTTCAGAGGATGAAACTGAGGTCCAGAGAGGTGTGGCCTGGTCAGGGTCACCCAGCAAGTTACTGATAGGGGATTAGGTGCCTTCCCCAAAAAGGGTGGGCAGGCATGGGCAGCAGGAATCTAGTGTGATGAGCAGCATTGACCTAAAGATGTTCCCAGTGCCCAGAGCTCCTCTTGTGATCCCTGCATCTTACATCCCACCCTTCAGTGAACCTCATTTTCCTTCACTTTCTCTTCCCAAGCTGCCTGCACACCTCATCTGGGGCTCCCACTTTTCTCAGTTAGCAGGGGCCAACTCCCTGCACTCCCAGGGTGGTACAGGCTGCCAGGGGAGGGAGACATCTGGGAAGTCCCACCATGGGTGGAGATGCCCAGGAGCATCCACCAGGCAACCTTCTCACCTGTCCTGGTCCCTTCCACACTCAGATGTTGAAGTGCTCCACTACTTCCCTCCACCTTCCAGCCCATAACACGTCTGCTGGGAGGGAGGAGGAAGAACTCCACAGCAAGGGGCAATCCCGGTATCTCAACTCCAGTGTAAATCAAGAGGGCCTTCCAGGAAAAGGTGGCATATCTCATAATGTTCAACTTTCAGCATCACTCTGCACCAGACACCAGGCAGGATGCTTTGCAGAGATGATAATCTAATCCTCACATCAACCCCTGCAAGGCTGCTTATTGTTGTGCCTATTCGCTGAGGTTCAGGGGGGTTACGTATCCATGGCCACATAGGCAGTAAGTAACAAAGCCAGGATTTGTGCTTGAGTCTGCCTGACCCAGACACCCTGTTCCTTTCATACCAACATACTTCCCTCCTTCCCACCATCAGCATGCTGTTCAGAATCCTTAGACACTCTTACACCACAGGATGGAAGTGATTGGTGGGGACAAGAGGGCAGACCCAGAAAAAGTAGGAGGGTCCTGAGCATTACAAAGCAAGTCACACATACCATGGCCCCATGGGAGCCTCCCCAGCCTTGCAGGCTCGGGCCTCTCTCTGCATCACTGTGCAGGGGTACGGCAGGTAGAGGAGGTAATCAGTTCTTGGTTTGGTAGGACCCATCTTGGCACCAACTGTGGCTCTGCCAACAGCCTCAAGGTCAGACTCCTTGTAAAAAGGGCTAATCACTGGGCAGCCTCAGAGTGAGAATAGCACATCCCCAGGTCCCACTGGAGACAGTACATAAGCCTGAGGTACAGCCAAGCAAGCAGGAGTGAGCTGGAACTACACTGGAGTGATCATGCGTGTGAATGAATGTGGAGCCATCCTTTGTGGGGTGGGATTTCTCAGTTTCCACAAAGTGGCTCTTATAGTATTCAGTACCCACTGGGAGCCGGTGTGGCCAGAATGGCTTCAGACCAAGGAAGTTTGGGCAAGAAGCAACCACGCAATCCAGCCACCCCAGGTGATGCTCCTGGGGTCTCAAAAGGCTGAAGGAGGGAACCGTGGAGGAATGGGCTGAGTGAGTCAAGCCTGGAACCAGAGAGCTGCAGTGCTATCATCCAGCTCCTACCCCTTCTCCCCAAGAACCGGGAGGAGGAGCAGGGAGCAGAGCTGCCACCACAGACAGGACAACACAGGGCTGTCAACAGTCAGGTGTCCTCGTGGGGGTTGAGAAAGACAGATGTAGCCCTCTCCTCTCCCACACCCTCTGCCTCGTGGGGAACCGTGGGTTTGGGCAGGACAGACTTGGGGTGGTATAAGGAAATGGAAGGGACTCCACAAATACCTTCTCTTCCTGTGGGGTGGAATTCTAGGAGTAACTGTGTGTCTCTTCCCTCAGCTAAAAGCCACAGATGCAGACGAAGGCGAGTTTGGGCGTGTGTGGTACCGCATCCTTCACGGTGAGTGGGCTGCCCTAGGACAGCAGGAGCCAGCCTTCCTGCCCCTGGGATAGCAGAGCTGCTCTAGGCTGCCAAGGGTCTGGGAGGTGGGGCACCAAGGAAGCCCCAGGTGCTATACCCATGTCAGGGGCAGAGGGAGGAAACAGGTACATTCTCCAGGCATGTCACCAAGTTGGATGTATTTTAAGTAAGGGATGCTGCATTTGATTGCTATGCTTCTGAAGTTCCTGGTGTCCCATGGTGGGGTATCGCCCTGATGGAGGGAACCTTAGGGACCAGGGCAGCCCCCAGCAGCGAGCTCCCCAGCGATTGAGTACCACTGGCCCAACGTGTATCATATGCCCACCCATGAACCAATCACTATGGCCTTAGACATAGGACAGCTCCCCAGAGTAAGCCTCATTGGGCCAACTAGAATGAGTCACTAGGGCCAGAAACTAAAATATGCTGATCTGCTGGCTCCCTTCACCCTTTACCCTTATGCAAAGCCGAGAGTGGAGGAGGGTGGTTCCCCAATGGAAAATCAGAGTGCTGTTACCACAAGATGGGGAAATGGGTGCTGGACCAGCCCAGAGATGTCCATAAAATACTTGTTTCAACTCCCCACAGAAAATTTAATTTAGGTTCCTCTCTTTGTAATGCCCCAGATTCCTCTGAAATATTGAATCCATTGATACCTCTGGGTATTAGGTTCTTAGGGGACCTCCAGGCTTCCCATAAGGAGGACACAGGGTGAGCTTCTGCCTCCTCTGTCAAATCCTGTCAGGCTAGGGCAGCATGAGGCAGAGCCTCCT